TCTTCCATAGCAGGGGAATGAGACCACAGGGTCTGAGACAACCAGGCTGATGGTGCTCTGGGTGAGGGTGGATAACTGGTAGTGGATTGGACTGAGCTGCAGTCGACTAAGGCAGTGTGTGTGGGGGTGCATGGAACTGTGGCTGTCAGCAGTGGAATCCCAGAGAGGTGGGCAGGGGTTGGGCTGGGCTCACCTAGTGGAGGAGCAGGACATAGAGGTCAGATGGGAACAGAGGCCCTTGACTGTCCTGTCTGTCCCCCTGCCAGGTGGCCGATAGTGAAGTGAAGGCAGGCACCTTGCAGCTGACCGTGGATCGGCTGACCGGGGCCCTAGCTAAGGTGGAGGAGAGTGAGGGGGCCCTGCGGGATAAGGTGCAGAGCCTGACAGAGGCACTGGCCCAGAGCAGTGCAAGCCTCACCAGCACCCAGGACAAGAATCTGCACCTGCAGAAGGCCCTGACTGCCTGTGAACATGACCGCCAAGTGCTCCAGGTATGGGGCTGCCAGGCTCCGACTGGGCAGGGCCCTGGGAGAATCAGTAAGAGCAGGCTTGCAGGGTGTCTGGCAGAGAGCCGGCCTATGGGACAGTCATCTGGGATTCCTAAGGAGCAAGTCAATAAGAGCAGGCTTTGAGGGAGGAGCCGGCCCAAAAGAGCATGGGTCAGAGCAGGCGCTGGGAGGTACCCAGTGAGAGAACTGAGCCGCCTCCCATCGGCTTGGGAGGGACCCAAGACAGTCCGAGTGACTGTGCAGGTCAGCGAGTAGTCTGTGGCCTGGGCTTGCTGCGTGGCTCACCCTTCAGGTGAGATCACTACATGTTTGATGGGGTACGAACCTACCCAGAGGTACAGACTAGAGGGGCCCTCTTGTCTTAGGGCTCCAGGCCTGGCACTGTCACCCCTGTCCCCCAGGAACGGCTGGACGCTGCCCGGCAGACGTTATCTGAGGCCCGGAAGCAGAGTGGTTCCCTGGGCGGGCAGGTGCAGACCATGCGGGGCGAGCTGGCAGATCTGGAGCTGCAGCGGGCGGAGGCCGAGGGCCAGCTGCAACAGCTGCGAGAGGTGAGGGCCAGTGGCCTGCTGCCCTAGGGGACTGTGAGGCTCTCAAGGAGGGACAGGGACCTGCCTACCCATGTCAGCCTCAGCCCAAACCCTGGTCCAGCCTCCTGTGAGGAAGCATGGTCCACACCCCCATCATATAGATGGGGAAGCTGAGGTACAGAGAGAACTCTCTGGCCTTAGGCAACAGTTCCCTGGTGGCCTCACAATTGCTGGCTGAGTGAGTGGGCACGGTGGGGCAGCATCACTCTTCCCAGTTTCAGATAGACACACTGAGGCCACATGGACACATTGAGGACCTGGCTGGTTCTGGCTGTAGGTGTTGCGGCAGCGGCAAGAGGGCGAGGCAGTGGCTCTGCACATGGTCCAGAAGCTGCAGGATGAGCGGCGGCTGCTGCAGGAACAGCTGAGCAGCCTGCAGCGCGCCCTGGCTCAGCTGGAAGCCGAGAAGCGGGAGGCAGAGCGCTCCGCCCTGCGGCTGGAGAAGGACCGCGTGGCTCTCAGGAGGACGCTGGACAAGGTGCAGCGCTTCAAGGCCCTCCCCCCACTCTCTCTGGCAGGCCGTGGTGGGCCCCGCTGCACGTGCCCAGGGTCCACTGTTCCTCTTGATGGTGTTCCCCTGGAGGCAGAGCCCTGTGCCCCGTCGAGTCTCTCCTCCCCGGCCTCCCTGGGCCAGCACCCTGACCCCCTCCTGCTCTCTCCTCCTAGGTGGAGCGGGAGAAACTCCGCAGCCATGAGGACACAGTGCGGCTGAGCGCAGAGAAGGGCCGCCTGGACCGCACCCTCACGGGGGCTGAGCTGGAGCTTGCCGAGGCCCAGAGGCAGATCCAGCAGCTGGAGGTCTGGGCCCTGCCCACCCAGCACTGGACCCTCCTTGCCTGGATCCTGTGCCATCCCAGCCTGAGTGCTGAGCAATCTCAGGCAGGGCCCATGGCTCAGCCAGCCCAGGGTCCTCAGCCCACACAGGAGCCCAGACCTGAGGGGCTGTCCCAGGGTTGAGCCACGGCGGGAGGGGCTCTCCCCAGGGGGGAAAGGCTGCATTCGTGTGTGTTGTCACGTGCAGGTATGCGTGTCCATATGAGTATTCCTGTGCATGTGGCATGACTGTCGTGCACAGATGTGGCTTGTCTGTTATGAGTGTTAGACATGTGTTTTTGGACAGGTGTTTTCATGTATGTAGATGTATGTAGGAGTATTGGGCTTTTGTATATGAATATGGGTGAGTGTTTTCATGCTTCCTTTGTACCTGTGTGTATGTGGTCTGTCTCCTTGTTTGAAGACGTCCGTGTGTGTGTGTGTGTGTGTGCACGCGTGGACATGCCCGTCAGAGCGCACACGGTATGCTGATCCAGCGTTGGCAAACTCGGAACTGGCTGGAGACGTCCGTGTGTGTGTGTGTGTGTGTGTGTGCGCACGCGTGGACGTGCCCGTCAGAGCGCACACGGTATGCTGATCCAGCGTTGGCAAACTCGGAACTGGCTGGGTGGGGATAAACAAGGGTTTTTCCTGCATCTCCCACCTGTATGGCCGTGCCCCAGGGAGGTACCTGAAACCCCGTGACAGACACACACAGAGAACTCTGACGAGTGGCCCCTCTTGGCAGGCACAGATGGTGGCCTTGGAGCAGAACCACAGCCCGGCCCAGCTGGAGGGGAACGAGCAGCAGCGGCTGGAGCTGCAGCAGGAGGTGGAGCGCCTGCGCAGTGCCCAGGTGCAGACTGAGCGCACCCTGGAGGCGCGGGAGCGGGCCCACCGCCAGAGGGTGCGAGGGCTGGAGGAGCAGGTGGGCAGGCCTTCCCGCTGCCAGGGGACTGGGTCAGGCTGGAGGCATGGAGCTGGGGGAGGAGGGGAGGCTGGTCATGACCTCAGTGTGAACAGGTGCTGGCCCCTAACTGCAGAGGGTGTGGTGGGTCTGACCAGGGCCTCAGTTCCTCCCACCATGGTGCTGCTGTCCTTTGGCATGCCCAGGCAGGCCCCTCTCTGGGGGCACAAGCGGCCACAGCAGCCTGAACCTCAAGTTCTCCCCAACCTGTGATCTCAGAAGAGTGGAGGTAGGGGCTTTTCTCAAGAGCACCAGCCAAAGTCCCAGGGCTGTGTCCCCTGGCCAGTTTAGAGCTTAGGCCTGTCCTGGCCACCCTGGAACCAACTGTGTCTTCAGGGCCAGGTGCTCGAATAGGCCAGGTTTGGTTACACATCAGGGCTAGAGTCAGGCCCACCCAAATGAGGATGGGGATCAAGGGTGGGGGTGGAGTAGCCCCTAAAATGCCCAACAGTCAAGACACCTGACTGCCACACAGGGCACAGTGAGAAGGGGGACACCTCTGAAGCAGGCTGCACTGGGTCCATCCAGGGTCATAACTGCTCACGGCCCCTCCTTCCCATCAGACCAGGCTGGGGACCTGGGCCTCATCACCTCTTCCGTCCCCAGGTGTCCACGCTGAAGGGACAGTTGCAGCAGGAGCTTCGAAGGAGTTCAGCACCCTTCTCCCCATCCTCTGGCCCCGCAGAGAAATGAGCTCTGTCCTGGCTGGCATCCTGGAAGGCAGCTCCATGTCTGGGGCAGGAGGGGGGCCTCCAGCACACCCACTCAGGGCTGGTATCCCCAGAGCTAGAGTGGGGTGAGAAGGAACCCGGTGGCAGTGCTGAGGGGTGGGGATGCCTGCCAGCTCCAGGCTAGACCCAGTAATGGCTTCCCGGCATCATCAGGGCCACCTATTCGAGCCCTGCCTCAGCCCAGCCCCTTCCCCTGGGCCCGGGTGTAAGGCAGGGGTCAGGTACCAGGCCTGACTAGCTTCCCAGAGGTCTCTCCACCTTAGTTCAGAGTGATCTATCAGGAAATTTGTCAAGAGTTCAGAGTCCCTGTATTTTTATACCTTTATACGACGTTAACTGTTCAGAACTGTGTTTTTTGTAACAAGACAACCCTGTTTTCTAAGAGCAGTTGTACAGATGTGTATCCATTTTCTATATTTAGTGTGCCTCTCCACCTGGAGGAATTGGGAGGGGAAAGGTGAGGCCTGGGCAAGAGGGATGGGGTCCTCAAAGGAGGGGTGCTCGGGAGACTGGGGAGGCAGAGCCTGTGTTGGGTGAAGAACTTAGCAACCTCATAGGTGTCAGGGTGGGGGGCCTCAGCATTCCTGGGCCATCCACCCATGTAACAGACGGGACTGTCACCTGACTTGCACAGTGCGACTTTTTTCTGGACACTCCTCAGGACGGGACCCCCTCTCGTGGGTGACAGGTCTTCCGGGCAGAGCAGTGAGTAACTCAGGCTGGGGAGCGAACGTGCCCGGGCTCTGCTGAGCCATTCGAGGCGAAGCTGCTTACACTCTGAGCCTCAGTTGCTGGTAGAGTGGGGGCTGACAGTGTCCAGGAGTGGCCATGCAGGAGGTCATGGACACTAACGGATAGTGTTTCAGGGAGAGATCATGCTCAGCCTCCTCTGTTGGAATCCAGCATCCAGATTCTGCCCCAGCCATGCCACTGGTGGCCATGGACCCCTGGCTGAATTACTCGACACTTCTGGGCCTAGTTTTCCTATCTGGAAGATGGGGTATTCACAGTGCCCACCGCATATCCGTTGAGAGGGGTGAATGGGACCAGTGTGGGGAACACGCAACAGAGCCTGGTCCTGCGTGCTGTCAGAAGGGGTGTTACAATGGCTGCCTCTGTCCTGCCCTCTCACCAGCTACCTGCTCCTACAAAGGTCCTTGAGGGCCAGCAGTAGATGGCATAGTGGTTAAGGAACTGGATTCCCACAAAATCAACCACAGTTCGAGTCCTGGATCTGGTGGCTTGAAATAAAACGGGCACATGTGCATGCATGTCCAAAAGTCCGAGAGGAGAATAAAGGGATTGCAGCGTGGGTTGTTACTCACTTTCTGTTCTCTCTGGAGAGTGTATGCACCCTATTACAAAAATCTAAAAAACAAAAAAAAGAACCCTCCATCTAGAATCTACTTTCACCTCCAGCCTTAACCGCTCCCCACCCCCATCATACACATGTTAGGTTTCCCCCATCAGGCTGCGTCTCTGGCGACGGGATGTGTGTCCTCACCAGGCAGCCCTGACAAAGACAAAGCCGCACCCCTGAAAGCTGTTTCCCATGCCACCCCCGGCAACACGGGCAGGTGCCACAGCCCATTTCCTGGGCGGGCCAGAGCCGAAGCCGTGGGTGACGTGGCAGCACTGGGACTGCAGAAGCAAGGCCAAGGTCACCTGAACAGCCCATCTCCAGGGAATCACGTAGCTGCTCGGTGAGGACGGCCAGTGCTGGGGACCCCTGGCTGCCCCTCTGCTCTTCACTGAGAAAATGACTCTCAGACTTCTGTAAAAACTTATTTTTAATCTTGTATAAAACAAAGGTGTCCATGACCCGTGGGCTGTAGGAAATCCTTACAGACCAGCTGGGCAAGGGGCACAGTTACATTGGGGGATGAGGGACACTGTCCTCAGGGCTGAGAAGGCACATCAGGACCCGGGTCCCACAAGGAGGCCTGGGGTGCCCTCCATCTGGGGGCAGAGACTAGAACTTGGGGAGCCCCCACTGTGCCCAGGACCTGGGGCATCACAGCCCGCTGCAGTCCACTAACTCTGGAAGGAGAGGAACGTCAGGATGGGGAGAAAGCACCAGATCAGGCAGGGCCTGAGGGCCCACGGATCCCCGGAGGGCCGGGCTCGGGATGCTGGCTGTGCCCTAGCAGCCCCCGCAGCTCCTGGCACAGGAGGCAGCCACAGATTGGCACAGGCCACTGCTGGCCATCACGCCACATTTGGAGAACTTGTCCCGACACAGGTCAGCTGTTGGGGGCAGGAAGGGAGGGTCAGGGAGTGAGGGTGGGTAATGGGAATGGCCCCACGCCTGCCGTTCTGGTGTTGAGGCAGGCATGGGTCAGTGGGAGGGGCTTATTCTGGGCAGGGGGATGTCCTCTCTGCTGATGGGCACGTTCTGAAGATGAAAAGTCATGGGGAGGGGACCAGGGCACTCCTCACGTGGGCCCCGGTATGTGGCCCTCGTGGGTGGGCTGCTGGCCGGGTAGTAAAGTGAGCACGTGTCAGGGAGGCCCGAGTGGAGGCCTTACCTCGGAGGAGCTCCTCGTGGGCACAGACCGTGCGGACACAGATCTCCTTGTTGACAACATACACACGGCGGAGGCTGGGGACAGAACGGGGGACGTCTCGGCCTCACCTTCACCTCCCCCTCTGGGCCAGCCTGCATAGACCCGGGCATTGGAGTCTGGGAGTCTGGGCCCCAGGTCTAGCCTCAACTTCAGAATTCGCTATTTTTCCCCAAACTCACACCTTGGCTGGCCAGAGCTGTCCCCTACTCCCACCCTCCTGCAGTCTTTCTGACAGTCCCAACTACAGGCTGTCCACCTGCACTCACCTGTAGAAGCAGACCTCGTTGAGACACTGTTTGCAAGGCTTGTGTATGGAGTAGAGGCGGGTGCAGGGGTACTGTTCCTCGCGGCAGTCTGGGTGACAGGCAGAGTCGGACTAGGGGACCAGAGCTGGGGGCCAGCCTGCGACCTCCGCACCTGAGACTGGCTTGGAGAGGCCTGATAAACCCTGCGCTTGGAGAGTCTAGATAACCCCTGCACCTGCAGGCCAGCCCAGACGCCCACACCTACACATGCCCAATACACACAAACACGGCATGGTTTTTGCCTTCTGGGGCTGACCAGTTTTATATACGGGGTCTTCAAAACATTAATGGAAAATGCATATTATGAAAAATTATGCATGGATTTCAAACATGTTTTGCACCAAAATGCTCATATTTTAATTCCATTTCCCAAAACCTTTTTGAAGTCCTCTTATACAAAACAAATATATAAATTCACAGCCACACTTACAGCACATATCGAAACACACACAAGTTCAAACACAAATTCGCATTCACCCATGCATAGACACAAAAGTCCACACCAGCTCGGGTTCACACACTCAGCCCACACAGTGGCATGCTCACTGACTCACACGAGGGGGAGTCACACGGTTCTCGCTGTCTTGTGCTCAGGCTGCTGGCTGGGGCAGAGCTCAGCTGGCCGGGCGCTCGGCCCTTCGTGCCTCACCACGTGCCCCACCTAGTCCCTGTGTCTAGCAGGAACCCCCAGCACACTCCTGCCCCTCCCAAGTCTGCAGCCAGCTTAGCTCCCAGCCAGGCCCACAAGAGCAAAGTGGGGTCTCCCAGAGTGGCCTGGGGGGCCTGATGACACCGGCCCAGAGCAGGGCAGGTATACGAGTTCCCCTCAACACCCCCCTGACCACCAGCAGCCCACAGGACCTAACTGGGCAAGAGAAAAAGGCTCTGTCCTACTGCACTGCCCCCCCACGTCACCCGTTTCCAGGTGTGACTCCGTTTCTCCAGCTGTCAGAGAAGCTCATACCAAGAGGCCCAGGCTCTGTCGGCTCCGTCTCGGCATTTCCTGGTTCTGGTGTTGAGAGAGGCAGCAGGGATCACCCGAAGGGGCCTATTCTGGGCAGGGGGCAGTCATCTCTCCCAGCTCCGGCACAGACCCCTCCCTCTCAGAGCTGACAGGGAGCTGGGGCTGGGGCTGCAAAAGCAGGCACTTGGGGTCTACCTGGGGTGGGGGCCGGAATGACTTCCTGTTGGACTTGCTGCTGGGACTGGAACTGGAACTGCTCCTCCGGGGGCCGAGAAGTCATCTCTGCAACAAGAGGATAAGGTCTGCTCCCTCCTTCCCCCCCAGGGTCCACATGGGCTCCCCCGTCACTGCCCAGCCGTCCCAGCCTGTCCCCAGTGCTTTACCTTGGTAGTCATAGTAGTCCGGGCTGTCTGAAAACAGAGAATGTGGAATTCGTAGGGGGTCACACTAGGCCCCAGTTCCAGGGGCACATGAGGGCACCACTGAGCCAAGGCCACTCTCAGGATTCCCATCACCCCAGCCCGCCCCAGGCCCTGGGTGAGCCTGTATACTGGGAAGCCGGGTCGGCAGAGACCTGGGGATGGCACGGCCCTTACCAATCTGGTCACCGTAGTGGGTGTACTGGCCGTGGTCAGGGAACGGAGGCAGCGGGTCCAGGTCGTACTGGCCTTGAGCCAGCAGGCCTGCTGAGAGGGGCAAAGTGGGTAGGTGTCCCCCAGACAAGGAGAGGAGGCAGGCCTGTGAGGGCCCGGAACCCTCCAGCCAGACTCTCAGAGCATCCAACTCCTTCCTCAGCCCCAAAGGCCCTTGGTATGGCCTGGTCCTGCCGTGCCTCCCTGACCTGACCCTCCCTGCTCCCCCTCCCTGCCCCACCTGCCCCAGGGCCTTTGCACTGGACTCGCCTTGGGTCTGTGATACCTGGCTGCTTCTCCTTCAGGTCTCAACTGCAATTTCAGCTCTGCCCAGGGGCCACCCCTGCCCACTCACGCTCGCTCCTCTTTTATCACATCACAGCACACAACAGAACCTGCCGTTTAGTATTGGTCTCCCTCCCCTCGCGTGGCAGCAGGGCAGGGCTTTGTCTGCCTGCTTCACTGTGGGACCCCAGGGCCTGGCCCGGTGCCTGGCATATCGTAGGTGCTCAACCCATATCTGCTGAATGAATGAATGAATGTTAGGTCAGGCAGGGCCTTTGTGATCCCCCAATAACTCCTTGTCTGACCAATAAGCACCCCCCAGACGTCAAGACTGTACAGGGTGGCAGGTTTCAGATGGTCCAGAGCACAGGCCTCCAGACCTTTTTCCTTGGGTGCTCCTGTCTACACATGGGCTCCCCAGCGGGGCAGGAGGTAAAGGAAAAGCAAGGACTCCCGGCCTGGCACGCGCCCACTCTCTGGAATCCTGCCTGCCTGCCTGCTGGAAGGCTGCGGGAAGGCCAGGAGGGGCGTCCACACTGGTCCTGTCTGTGACACAGGCAGGTGGGAGACCCCGGGAGCTGAGTTCTGGCCACAAGGCATGACAAAGGCTCACCGTGAGCGCCCTGCCACAGTCCCACTCCTGACACACGTGAGGGGAGCCACTGCCACCCTGGCAGCCACTTACCGGGCAGGAGCAGCAGGAAGAGGTAGGCAGCTCTCATGGTCACAGAGTGAGGCAGGCTGGAGGAAAGGGAGCAACAGCTGTGTCAGGGGCCAGTAACCCAGGCTGCAGAGCCCGCTTCTGGCCCCCCGAATTTGGCCTGGAGAAAGAGGTACTCAGAATAGAACCTGGGCATCCAGAGAGACAGGGGTCTGGGGCAGGGACTACTCTGGAGGGACATCAGGGATCCTGCTGACCCATTGGGGTGTTCAGGTCACAAGAGACCAAGCCTCTAATCTGGTTCTATGGTTGATCTTTTTTTAAAAATTATTTTTTAATTTCATTTATTATTATTATTATTTTTAATTTGACCACACAGAGACAGAGAGAAAGGGAATGCAAGAAAGCAAGCCACCAGGTCCGGGACTCGAACCATGGTCAGCCATGTGGGAATCTAGCACTTCTAACCACCACACCACCTGCCGGCCCCTACGGTTGATCTTGATAAACGGAGCCCCCTCCCAGCCCACTAAGGGGGGATTCCTAACCCCTCTACCCACCTGTTCTCTCCTCACCCACTCCTCTCTTTCCGAGTGTCCAATGCACTGACTGAATCTCTGATCCCAGGCTCATCCTCGGACCCCAGCCCTGCCCAGCTGACCTCTCAGCACTTTGCGTCAAGGCCCCCAACCTGCTCCCAATTAGCCCTGGGCCCTGAGCCTCTTGCTCAGCA